CACCCCAACGCTCCACCAAGAATCAATGTCTTCTGAGGCGCTCAAGTGATCCAATCTCACCACCAAGCCCCCCTTCTGGAAGCGCCCGGCGAGATACTAGGTCCTGGGAGGCCCCTTTGACGGGCCTGTCGACGGGGTAGGCGTCGGAACTTCAGAGCATGGCCCCTTCCTGCGAGCCTCAGCAAAAGCAGAGACAGTCGCCCCCTGCTCCACACCAGAAGGACCCATCCCGGCACCTCCGAACTCGGAGTCTCCAAGACCTCGGTAGCCCCACTCGCCTGCAAAAAGGACAACAAAAACATTCCTTCAAAACAAAAGCCACGCAGAAAACCAAAGCATAAATAGAAGGCCTTAGGCCACACTACGTACCTCGGCAGCTGGGGTGCCTTGCTTAGTAGCCTGAGCCTCCACCTCAACTGCTACCCCTGCCTGAAAGAAGTACATCACCTCGGTAAGCCGAGCAAAATCAAAACAAGAAGGATGTTAAAGTAGACAAGACACCTACCCTAGTGGAAGGAGCAGAATGCTCAGTACCCGGGCCCACCACCTTGGCAGCCTGAGCAACAAGTCGAGCAACTCGGCCCATCTCCTCAGTAGCCCCTTGAGGAGCCTCCCCGGGCGGCGGACTCCTAGTAAGGTCCACCGCATCAGCATCAGTAGCCTTAGAGGTCACCTCCTCGGCGTTTAGAGGAGTTGAGGTCCCCCCAACCTCTTTCTCGCCCCTCTTTCTTTTTCGGTTTACCTTCAGGGGGGACATCTCCTCCTCAGGCTTGGGCACCTCGAGCTCAGCGACATTGTAGCGATGTTTCAACTCCCGCCACTTGTTCTTCCCCATTATGCCTGCAAACACAAAAAGCAAAACACATCAGCAAAAGAAACATCAGCAAAAGAAGGGGTTGCAAACCCTAATAATCTAAAGAGGACGAAGTACTCACTCTCCAGGCCCCTCTCCCTGTAGGCTAAGTTCGCAAGCGACAGAACGAGCTTGCAATCCAGCAGACGAGGAAGTGCGGCAAGGTTGTCAACGGCGGCCGCCTGCGAAGTCGTCAACTTTAGGTTACCCAAACCATGAAACCTAGACGGTTTGGGAACACAATAAAATGGAAATTTCGGCAACCCGCCGAAATGGAACACCTCATCCTCCAAGGGGTCGACATCCACAAGAGCGACCCGGAAGAACTCCTGCCTATAAATTTTGTACGATTGGGCGTAAAGGGTAAACAAACCCCCATCTCTACTCCCATTCAGTGACAACACGCCGTAAGGCGGAACACCTATTTTCAGTTGGTAGAAATGAAGAAAAATGCGAAGGGACACCTCTATCCCTAGGACCGTACACAAGACCTGAAAAGCCCTCAAAAAACCCCAGCTATTGGGGTGCAGCTGGCAAGGAGCCGCATTAATGTAATGCAAAAAATCACACTCAAACTGAGTGAAAGGAAGACAGACGCCCAGGTCCCTAAAGAGACACTGGTAGACATAGAAATGAGGAGGGTCAATGGACTCCCCCATGTACACGCCCTCATCGGCCCGACAAGGCTCGAGCCGAATCATATGGGAGATAGAAGGATCACAAATCTTATGCGTCCTCCGAACCGCATTAACCTCAAGGAAAGACCGGAAGACACTTTGGACTTCCCCCATCTCGCTCCTGACCCAATCATACCCAGGGATACCTGGAATGAGATCCGCTGGCGGCGCCACCTCCTTCTTTTTCTCAGCGGCAGCCGCCGCCTTGCCCCGCGCCTTGCCTTTACCCTTGGCAGGCGTGGAGGAACCAGCACCACTCCCCCCAGCCATAGAAAAGAAGAAACAAGAACGACTTGAAAAAGACTTGGGGAAAAAAGAAAGAAGAAAATGGCAGAAAGGAAGTACCTGGTACTCCTCCTTAGAAAAGAACCCTAACAACGAATGGGTTATCGGAAACGGCAATGAAGACAGGGAAAAAGGAGACAGAGGGTGAACAGAAGCAAGAAGGCAAAGAGAACCAGCGTACTCAAGAAGCCAAACGAGGAAGAAAATGAAAAGAGTAAAGTGAAAGGGGAAGGGGCGCGATTAAGAGAAAATGGGGTTTCCCAAAATTCAAACGGCCACAACACATGGCACCTTGATAGGCCAGCGTACGCGAAAGGTCACTTTCCTCCAGCGAGCTCGGTCTTAACTCCTTGACCTACGGTCTTCGGAGCTCGGGGGGCTAGTATACTATCCGTACTGCGAAACTGAGCTTCGAGCTCGGTCTCACATCGCAAGATGACCTCGGGCACACGCTATGCGACGTCAGCTCGAAATTCAAGCAGATCATAACTGATCTCAGAGGATCTCGCTCCAAGCGAGACCTATTATCTAATCTTATCATATCTTATCTCAAGCCCAAGGCCCAAAGCAACCCTAACTCACACTAAGGTACGTGCATTTCGTATACGAGACCCTTACTCATACAAACCCTAACTTTAGCATCGGAGTCTCTTTTACAGGTACCAGCCCCATATTGGAGCACAAGCGCACCAGTGAAGGAAACTCACCAATCTTGCTTGGAAGACCGTCTCTACGACAAATTCCTAGTAAAAACAAGCACAATATGGCTTCCATTCACATTTACCTCCAATACACATTAATGGACTTTTTATCATCTCTTTTAAACTTTTGACTTTTTTCTTAAACTGAATATAGCAAACTCTCACTCAAATAAGCCTTTATATCTCAGCTTGTTTTCTTGTTTGACTCTCATCTTTAAACATGATTCTTCTTGTTTGACTCTCATTTTTAAACATAATTCTTGTTGTAACTCATGAATAAGGTAATGGTATAACAAAACAAGTCATGGATCCGCTAGCCTGTCAAAAATTGGTAGGTGGCCTAATTCCTCATCTTGTAAGACCAAATAACAAATTTAAGCAGGCTAGTCTCCGGTCTATTTTTATTTATTTATTTATTATTTTTAATATAAATTTAAAGATAAAAGTTACTTTTAATCTTTCTAAAATTTTTCAAATTTAATTTTGATCTTCCAAAATTTGTTTATATTAAATTAGTACCTCTAAAATCAACTTTTTTTTTATTCACTATTATTGTAATTGTATATTTATAAGTCATTATTATGATAAAAAGATCTAAAATAAACCACTATCGAAGTTAAAAAAAGAACTAGACCTTGACAAATTATATTTTAGAATGACTATTTTAATTAGGGGTGGGTATATGGACTTGAGTACGCGGACCGGTCCGTAAGTATGCGGACTTCACGGATAACGAACCCATTTTTTTAATCCGTATAATTATACGGACTTTTTAAGTCCGGCCCGTTTAGTCTGCAGATTTTGCAGATTTCATCCGCGAGCTCACGGATTACCCGTTTAAATGTGGACTTAAATTTTATTATTGGACATGCTTGATTATATTTGATAGATATAATTAGACTTACAAATATTTTATGTTTGTTTTTAAGATATTAATTAAGACTTTAATGTTTTAAAGTATTTAGACTTTGATGTACTTGGACTTACAAATGTTTTATATTTGTTTGGTTGTGTATTAAGACTTTTAAAGTTTTAAGGTAGTAAGACTTTAATATTTGGTTAATAGATGGTATGCTTGAACTTTAAATTTTAAAGGCATTGAGACTTAAATATTTCTATTAGAAATTTAGAATGTGTAAACTTTGTTATTTAAGACTTTGATTTATTATTTACAATGTTTGATGTTATTATTAGAAGTATATTTATATCATTTTATATGTTTTTTTTTCCTCATGTTTTCATAGGTTAAATAAAGGAAAAGAAATTTAAAATCTGAGTCAATATTCATTTAAACAATTTAGATTTAATTGGGCCCTCGTACTTATCTGTTTATCCGTGGGCTTCAAGAGCCAGATACGGACTTGAAGATTTAAGTTCATTTATTTCGCGAACCGAATTTATCCGACCCGTTAAAAATGCGAACTTCGCGGACCGAGCCTTAAACGGGCCGGACTGGCTCCCACTCATAATTTTAATAAATAAAAAGTTGAAACAGCAAAAGCAAATTCGAAAAATTTTAGAACTAAAATGACTTAGTTTTACCCTAAATTTAATTAAATCATTTTATATTAACTTTGTGTATAATAATAAATTTATTATGCATTTAATTTATTTAGTTATATATAATTTAAATTTTTTTATTATTTAAATCCATTGATTATATAAATTTTAGATATTAAAAAAACAACTCAAAAATAAATATATAATTTTTTTAGGCGGATAGATTGACCCGAGTTCATATGAGAATTTTATTTAATATATAATAAAATATTTATTAATAATATATAAAAAAAATCTATTATTTTATTTAATTTATTCTTGTTTATAACTTTTATTTAAATTTAAAAATATCTAAACCTATGAGCAGTTTCTATCAAAATTGAGAAGTCCTATTCCTTGGAAAAATCTAAATCAAAAAATTAATGGACCCATTTAAAAATTCACAAATGTAAATGGAAAAAATGACTTAGAAATTCTCATCAAAATTATCTCACTCCTTAACTTCCTTCCACCCAAAATCAGCAAAATCAAACAATGTGATATTCCAACAAAAGTGAAAGCAATATTGTGTATGACAATTATTCTAACACCAAAAATTATAGACACTCTAAAATTGAACTATAATAACAAAAAACATAATAAATAAAAAAAATTTCATTGAGTACCAGAATAAAAAATAAACTATAAGCTTCCAACATAAACAAAAAAAAAACTATTAAAATCAAAACAATATAAAAAAAAAAATCACCAAAAGGAACAAAAAAAAAAAAAAAAACTAGTATGAGAAAAATTTAAATGCAAAATGTAAGAACATCTGAATGCACAAGCCCAAGAAAAATAAGAGGCCAATGCCAGAATTCAGCTCAAAATCGTTATCGGCAACGTACAGCACTGAAATCGCCATTGATTAGGCCAATCAGAGACTCTAATTTATTGCCTTCAAAAATCAGAAACAAACAAAACCAAAAATTTAACAAAGAAATAAGGCTCATCGAAAATAGTTGGCATCAACAAGCTCGATTAAGCTTTCATAGTTTGATGGTAATTTTACATCACTGCCTCGGAATCAACCGAAAATAAGAACAACAAAAATCAAAATTAGAAAAATTATCAAATCGGAAGGGAGAGATTTTGAGAGTATTGAGAGAATAAAAATTGGAAGCGGTGATTGAGACTATGTGAGAAGAAGGAGAGAGTCGAGGGATTAAATAGGTAGTGAGGGTGGAACGAGCGAAACCCTAATTTTTCTTGTGCGTAAAATTACGATTATGTCCCTACTATGTTTTGGGCTTTGTGGCACACAGCATACAATGGGAAAATGGGCCTTCTGCTTTTCACAAGCTGATTCAAGTACTCGTCTAGTTTGAGACTTGTTTAACTCATTTTTAACTTAATTATTTACTAATAAAAATTTTGCTTAATATGTGGTAGGTAGAATTGAATTATTTTAATCTATTATATTTTCATAATTTGGTAAATAAAAAAATTATAAAGTATTAACTATTATGAAAAAGAAAATCCGAAATTAATTTACGATTTTTTTAAGAAGTAATGATGTTTTAATTTATTTTGGAAAGACAAAATTTAAGATGTGTCAAAGATACATAAGATCAATAAAATTAAATGCTTATAAGAAGAAGAAGAAGAAAATAAGAAAGTAAAATAAATTAAACTTTTCTCAACTTAAAAATTTATATATTAGTTAATTTATAAAATTCCCTCATTTAATTTCTCCAAAAAAAATGTTTTAATCTATACATTGATCATTTTTATCTTATAACCAAAAAAAATTATCTTACTTAGATTTTTAATTATTCATTAAAAAAATCATACAAAAACAAGTTTCAAACAAAAAGAAGAATTTTGATTCGATTTACACAACACATGGAAACTTGTCTAGTTTCAATTAGGAGCATATTCCCTTAGAGTAACAGGATTTGTGAAACTGAAATTCGTATATTATTAAGAGGAAAAGCACTGGTATACATACAAGAGATAACTGACAGCTATCCTAGAACTAATGAATTAATACAGGCTATAATAACCCCCCCCCCCCTCAAGTAGGAAGAAAGATATAATGAATTCCTAACTTGCTACTAAAAATTTTAAACACATGTGGAGGTAAAGCTTTTGTGAAAAAATTTGCCACTTGATGTTCTCTCTTGACATGAAGAACTTTGAGTTGCTTCTTGTTAACCAATTCTCGAATGAAATGATAATCTATGCCAATGTGCTTGGTTCGTTCATGGTGGACAAGGTTGGATGCTAAGTATATAGCACTCATGTTGTCACAAAGGACATATGCAGAAGGTATGTAGACTTCAAAAATAGTCAAGAGTCATTGTAACCAAATTGTTTCACCGGCAACTGCAAATAAAGATATGTATTTTGCTTCTGTTGAAGACTTAGAAATAGTAGGTTGTTTCTTTGACTTCCATGAGATCAAAGAGTCTCCCAAGAAGACTGCATATCCAGTGGTAGATCTCCTAGATTCCTCACACCTTGCCCAATCTGCATCAGAGTAAATAGTTAATTGTAGTTTTGAAGTGCTGGGAAATAGAAGACCTTGACCTATAGTTCCTTTCAGATATTTGAGGAGATTATGGGCTGCCGTCATGTGTGTGTTGCGAGGCTCCTTCACGAACTGACTAAGTTTGTTAACAGGTAAACTTATGTCAGGTCTTGAAATAGTTAAGTAAATTAGTCTCCCGATAAGCCTTTGATAAATAGAAGGATCTGGAATAGGGAAACCATATAAATTGTTTACGTGTAGGGTAGGATCCATAGGCAACTTAGATGGCTTGGAGGCCAAAAAACTTGTAACTTCTAAGAGTTGCAATGTGTATTTTCTCTGACATAGAGAGATGCCTTGCATATTTCTTGCAATCTCAAGGCCTAGAAAATATTTCATATTCCCTAGAACTTTGAGTTTAAAGATGGAGTGTAGGAAGGACTGAACTGAATGTATTTGTGAGGTGTTGGATCCTGCTATTACAATATCATCTACATAAACAAGTAGTATGATGAGATTTGAACCTGTTCCTCTAGAGAACAAAGAGTAGTCATCTTTGGATTGCTGGAAACCCTGTTGAATGAGAGTAGAAGTGAACTTAGAGAACCACTATCAGCTGGCTTGTTTGAGGCCATATAAACTTTTTTGTAATTTGCAAACAAGTCCTTCCTTTGGTGATTTGTATCCCTGTGGAACTGCCATGTAAATGCCTTCCTCTAAATCTCCATTTAGGAAAGCATTGTTGATGTCAAGTTGGATTAGATGCTATTGTTTGACAGCAGCCACTGCTAGAAGAGTTCTAACAGTAGTGAGCTTTGCTATTGGAGAAAAAGTATCAGTAAAATCCACACCTGCTTGTTGAGTGTAGCCTTTAGCTACTAACCAAGCTTTATGTCTATCTACTGTCCCATCAGCATTATGCTTAAGTTTATATACCCACTTGCAAGCAATAGGCCTTTTGTGTTTAGGCAAAGGAACAAGTGTCCAAGTGTCCAAGTGTTGTTATTTTTCAATGTGGTTATTTCCTGATAGACTATGGCCAAGGCCAAGGAATCCAAGAGGTGATATACTAAAAGAACCAAGAGGAATGGGATGATCTTAAAGACCTTTTTCATATATTTTGTACATAGTTCCTTTGTATAGGTCTAATTTTGCCTTTGTATTTGTGAGGCACTTTACTTGCTTTTCATTAGTGATTGTATATTGATTTTAGGGTGGGTTACTTGGAGAGTTTAACTCCATTTAACCTCCTTTGTTGATACATTCATTTTATATTTTTTCAGTAGGGAAAAAGGGGTGGCATTTAGCAATGCTTGAGGGTGTGACTAGTAATTGGGCCAGAATTGGGCCTAGGCAAAATTTTGCATATTAGACTCATTTTGCTCCTAATTTTTCATAGATTTGATTTAGCTAGGTCTCATCATCATATGATGAACCTAACTAAACCAAATCAAAGAATTTCAAAATAAATCATGGAGCATTTTGGAGCCTTGACCGCCTAGCTTGTGTGGCTCGTTCTCGGCACGTAACGCCGCTAGGTCTGCTTCATTGGCGGTCCACATCGCTGCCAGGTCAGTTTCGTGCTAGGCACGCATGTTGCGCAAGTTGGTGTCGTGTTGTTGTCGCATCTGCTCGACTTGGTCGATCAGCCTCCTCAATGTTGCAGCATCGCTGTCCATGGTAGTTGAGTGATCTGCGTCGTTTGTCGCGCGTCTACTGTGGCTTCTGGTGAATACCATAAGCGTGGCCGGTAAGAGCTGTCTTGATCGGCCCCACGGTGGGTGCCAAATGTTCTTACTAGGAATTTGTCGTAGAGACGGTCTTCCAAGCAAGATTGGTGAGTCTCCTTCACTAGTGCGCTTGTGCTCCAAGATGGGGGTGGTACCTACAAAAGAGACGCTGATGCTAAAGTTAGGGTTTGTATGAGTAAGGGTCTCGTATAAGTAATGCACGTACCTTAGTGTGATCAGTTAAATCTTCAATTTCAGTTTGCCTTGTCTCTTGTTTGTTAGACTCATCAAATACCACATGGATTGACTCTTCTACAACCAGGGTTCTCTTGTTATAGATTCTATATGTTTTACTATTTGTAGAGTATCCTAGAAGGATTGCCTCATCAGCCTTTGCATCAAATTTTCCAAGTTGCTCTTTCCCATTGTTCAGCACATAGCACTTACACCCAAACACTCTAAAATATGAAATGTTAGGTTTCCTTCCATTATAGATTTCATAGGGTGTTTTCTTTAATATAGGCCGGATTAGAACTTTGTTTAACACATGACAAGCAGTGTTAATAGCATCAGCCCAAAAATATTTTGGCAAGTTTGTTTCATTCAACATTGTTCTAGCAAGTTCTTCTAAGGACCTATTACTAGGTCCGCGAAAAATAGCAAGCAAAGACTGACAGCAGCCACAAAATCAAGGTCAACAACGACACCCAGTTTAAGAAGTTGGCTCGGGCGAGTAAAGGAGGAAGATATGACTTCTACACTCCCCTGAACATGCCCCGAGTACATATCCTGGAGGAGGCCAGTAACAGCAACCTGCTCACCCTGCCACCGCTAGGTCACACCCCCAATAGTGCCGACAAGTCCAAGCACTGTCGGTACCACAGGAATCACGGTCATACCACCGAGGATGTCGCACCCTCCGAGATCGTATCGAAGAACTCATCTAGGCAGGCCATCTCGGACAATACGTCCAGCGACAGCAGGGTCACCGAGGAGGCTACAGTGGACGAGGATGAGGCAGAGGTCGGGGTTCAGGAGCTCATACGGACCAACCCTCTGCCCCTCAGCAAAATGTCGGCGGAGCAGTGCAAGTCGAGGTAAGTCAAGAAACAGGACCAGCTCCCCTACGGGGAGTAATCAATATAATTGCAGGCGGTTTCGCAGGAGGAGGTGCCACCAGCTCAGCCGGAAAGAGACACTTGTGCAACATCAGCAGCGTTCACTCCGCTACCTCAGCTTTGCACCCGAGCTTGCCACCAATCACCTTCACCGACAGCAACTATGATGGCGTCAGCCCCAACCAGGATGACCCCATGGTCATAGCCGTAGAGTTAGCAAATTGGGAGGTGCACAAAACACTGATAGACCAAGGGAGCTCGGCAGATGTCCTGTATTGGTCGACCTTCCTCATGTTAGACATCCCCCACTTTCTAATTCAACCTCACACAGAACCCCTAGTCGATTTTGCAGGAGAGCGAGTACACACTCGGCGATACGTGGACCTGCTGACCACCTTCGGAACCTCCCCGGACTCGAGGAGAGTCATGGTCAGATACCTCCTTGTGGAAGCCAACACCTCCTATAACATCATCATCGGGAGGCCGACGCTGAATCAGCTCGGAGCAGTAATGTCCACTCCGCACCTTACCATGAAGTTCCTAGGAAGCGACAGAAAGATCATCTCTGTCAAGGAAAATCAGAAGACGGCTCGGCAGTGCTACATCGAGAGTCTGAAGATATCTTCATCTGGTGAGCAGAACAAGAAGGATCCCCCCACCGTGGCTCACATCACCCACGTGGAAATCATCGATCTCGACCC